AGATTTCATATAGATTAATATAGAATCATCTGTGACTCTTCTTATCTATTAGCAGTGACCAGTCTGAAGGTATAATGCCATGGGATGCATTTTTATAACCACAGCACAAACAGGAAGATATAGCCTAAAATCTATTGAACATACAAGAGAGATAGCATATATATGAGGGGAGGGGGGTGTTGGGAGGGGAAGTCTACTGGAGAACATAGAAGAAAACCTGAATAAATGGAGAGACAATATCATGTTCCTGGATGGAAAGACTCAATATTGAATAGACTTTAGTTCTTGCAAAATTAATATATAAATGTTTTGCAGTCCCAAAGACTTTCCCAGCAGGGAAATAAAAAGGAAGTCCTCACATTGGAAACAGTTATATAAAGTGTGAAAAGAAGAAATAAAGGCAGGTAACTGGGGAAATGAGAACTGCCACACATTGCTGGAGATCAAACCAATCAATCCTAAAGGAAATCAGTCCTGAATATTCATTAGAAGGACTGATGCTAAAGCTCCAGTACTTTGGCCAACTGATGTGAAGAGCTGACTCATTGCAAAAGTCCCTGATGCTGGGAAAGATTGGGGGCAAGAGGAGAAGAGGGCAAGAGAGGATGAGATGGTTGGATGACATCACCATCTCAGTGGACGTGAATTTGAGCAAACTCCGAGAGCTAGAGAAGGACAAGGAAGTCTGGTGTGCTGCAGTCCATGGGATTGCAAAGAGTTGAATATGATTTAGCAACTGAACAGCAGCAGCACTTCGCTGGGAGGAGCATCAATCGCTGTGGCCACTTTTGAATGGTATTATCAATCAAAATGAAATATGCTTATCCTGTTAGTATAGTAATTTGCTTCTTGGCCCTGCATGCCATATACAGAAATCAGTTCCAGATAGATATGGATCTAAATATGAAAGGTTAAGCAATAAGCCTTTTAAAGGAAGATATTGCATTTAGACCACCTTTTGACCTTGAATCTTAGACAAGGTTTTAAAAGAACTAACTGTAATAAAAAAGTAGACTTTACTAAATTTTGATTTTTATGAAAATTATTGAATTATTATATATTTTCAACATTAAAACACTACAAGTGGTATATTATTTATTAAAATAAGATTTTTAAAGTACCAACCATAGTGAAAAATTGGTAATTTGACTTTACTAAAATAAAGAAATTTTTTATTATTAAAAAGCACAATTAAGAGAATGGAAAGGCAATTCAGAAAGTTGCAGAACACATATATATGACAAAGGGCTTATATCTAGAGTACATTAAGAATGCCTTCAAATTCATAAAAGGTGTACAACTCAAAAGAAAACTGGACAAAAGACTTGAGCAGATTCTACATGGCAAAGGATAGTCCAAGTACAATAAACAGGAAAAGGTACTCCACTTTGTTAATCATTGGGAAAATGCAAATTAAAACCACCACTCACACACTAGGATGACTAAAATAAAAAAGATGAAAATACAAGTTTTCTCGAGGATGTGGAGCAGCCATAACTCTTATACAAATTAAACAAAAAACTTAAAGCTCCCTGAGAGAAACATGTTTAATCAAGGAGGCATGTGTAAACCTTCTTTATTGCAGCATTTAAAAAACCCAAATTGTTCATTAGGCATTCAATGGATAAAGTACAGCATATCTAAAATGTTGAATACAAATAGTTAAAAATGATAAGATGAAAAAAAATGATAAGATGCATCTGTGTGTACTAATGTGAAAATATCTTAAAATCATATAGTGGAGTGAGAGGAAAACTATATAACAGCATATGGCATGTTACCACTTAAAAATCCCACAAAACAAAACTGTGCCATTTATACATATGCAGTTCTCTTCCATATATATGTGTGTGCTCACCCACACATGGCATGCACACTTTTGAAGGGACGTGCTTAGATGACCTGAAAGGGTACACTTCAGACTTGCAGCAGGAGTTACCTTCCGGGAAACCTGTGGACTAGGTGTGCTCAGGAAGGACGTGACCTTTATCCACATTTGAATTTTTTACAATCTGAAAAAAATTTCATGTATTTGCAGTGTGTGTAGTTAAAGTAGTATTGTGGGCTTCCCGCCAAACAAGAAATTTGGGTTTGATCCCTGAGTCAAGTGCCAAAAAATCCCCTGGAGGAGGAAATGGCAACGCACTCCAGTATTCTTGCCTGGAAAATCCCATGGACAGGGGAGCTTGGCAGACTACAGTCCATGGGGCTAAAAAGAGTCAGACACGTTTAAGCTCAACAGAGCCGATAAGTAGTGTCACCTACTTACAGTGGTAACACCTAATTGTTATAAAAATTGAAGTAATACTGAGGTATGTAAAGAAAGTAGAAGAAATAACCTCTTGACCACCCTTGTTCCTGCTCCCTGTTGACTTTCATGACCTGTTTGTACACATCAGTCTTATGGGTGTAGGTATTAGCAGTCACCTGTTGCTTTCTAACGGTACCCCAAGGGTATCCTTTTATCCATCCTCATCCCTTGGGTAATTGTTCTGGGAGGTGGTTATATGGTTGGTCTGACTCAGTCATGGTGTCGCTACTGTTGCTCTTGCCTGTGGTTGGTATAGGTGTGGGCCAACGCATGTTTTTGGCACTTTGACCAACAAGGTCTGATGTGAAGAGAAGTCTGCTGGGAGGCTCCAGGCAAGATTTCCTGCTCTAATAAAAAGAGATGCAGGAACCCACAGTCCCTCTGTGGTGGTTGTGTCTGGATTTGACTGGTAACTGCTGCAGCTTTATCCAGGCTAGTTCATTAGCTTGAGGATTGATCAATATGTGAAAGATGGTAGAACAAAAGAGCTGGTATTGGTAACTACTGAATAAAGAAGTTCCAGAACCATGCAACCTCCAGACTTCTGAGATTCAGAACAGACTTCTGTCATGAGATTTGAGTCAGGGATTTGTTATTTGCAGCAAAGAAACATCTTGACACGTGCATATATATGCATTCGAAATTTAAGTCAAAAGAAGGCTATAAGCTATACCATATACACTGTTCTGCAACTGTTTTCACATAGTAGCTGATGGCTATTATTCAACAAGTTCTCCATTGGTGGACCTTTAGGATATAGTTTCTGCTTGCTCTTCTAAAATTCCCCAGAGAACATCTTTTACATGATTTGAAATATGTATGTGCTGTATAGACTGAATTTTTAGAAGTGATATGGCTGGATCAAACATTCAGTTCAGTTGCTCAGTTGTGTCCGACTCTTTGTGATCCCATAGATTGCAGCACGCCAGGCATCCCTGTCCATCACCAACTCCCGGAGCTTGCTCAAACTCATGTACATCAAGTTGGTAATGCCATCCCTCTCATCTTCTGTTGTCCCCTTCTCCTCCTATCTTCAATCTTTCCCAGCATCAGGGTATTTTCCGATGAGTCAGTTCTTCACATCAGGCAGCCAGAGTATTGGAGCTTCAGCATCAGTCCTTCCAATGAATGTTCAGAACTGATTTCCTTTACCATTGATTGGTTTGATCTCCTTGCAGTCCAAGGGATCACACATTAGATTAACTTTAGGTTGATACCCACCACTCAGTTGCTTCCAAAAAGATCATTCCAGTTTATACTGTCAGCAGCAAGAGCTGGTACCCATTTCTCCACATATTCACCATGCTGTCCATGTGTAGTATTCGGTTTTTTCCTGTCTATAGATTAAAACTGGCTTTCTATTTTAAAATTTACATATCATTATTAACAAAGTTGCAAATCTCATGTATATTGGCTGTTTGTCTATTTTCTCTTCTGAATATCTTCTGAATCCTTTACCTGTATTTTTCTTACTGCATTTATAGCACTCTATATTTTAACGGTTTTTGTGTTGCAGGTATATTCTCCTAGGTAGTCCTCTATTTTTCTTAATGTTTGCTTATACTGTCATTTGGTACACAGAGGTTTTAAATGTTCATGTTGTCACATCTGTCCATCTTTTTCTTTGTGCTCTCTGATTTTTATTATGCTTGGAAAATCCTGTGACATCCTACAATTAGGGAAAAATCATGCTGACATTCTTCTTGCTTTTTTATAACTTGAAAAAATATTTAGATCATTAATGCATCTAGAATTTCTTTTATATATAATGAAGGGGCTAACTTAAGTCCCCCCCCATGTAAATAGACAGTTATCCCATTGTCATTTATAGTATGCCACTATAGTATATTACAGTATAGTAATATATAGTATCTACAGTATAGTCTGTGTATAGTATAGTCCATATTCTCTGCGAATGATATCATCATAGCTTAGATTCCTCTGTGTTCATAGGTTTGTCTTGGCCATCTGTCTTGTTCTGTTGAGTCGTTCATTTTTCTGCACTCATACCATAGTTTTAATCACTAGATTTAACATATGTTTTGCTCTTCAGTGAGACAAGTCCTTTATTGGTTTTCAAAATTTTTCCCATATTATTTACTTTTCCAGAAAAACTTTAGAATTAACTTGCCAAGTCTTTACAAAGATCCTGTTTGAATTTTCACTGGAATTGTTGAGTGTGTAGATTAACCTGGGGAGCCCTGACATCTTTACAATATTGAATCTTGCCATCCGGCACCATGGTGTCTCTCTCCATTTACTCAGGTTTTCTTTTATGTGTTTCAGCAATGTTTCGTAGTGTCTAACATGTAGGTCTTGTATATTTCTTTAAAAATTATTCTAGAGATTTAAAATATCTATCATAAAGGAACTTGTTTTCATTATGTATTCTAACAGGTTATTGCATGTATGTAATGTGTAAAACTATTCTTGCCATTGATGTAAATTCTCATAAACCTAAGTGTAACAAATGAAAATCTAATTTTATAGGGGAAAAAACTGATGCTTGAGTGGATTAATTTCTAAGTCTAGGTACAAAGTATTTCTAAAACATAACTCTAAATAAATTCAGTGAAAATCATGAGTCTCAGGTCTGATTAACTGAACTTTTTGTTTTTCCCCACTCTCACAGGTTATTATTAATTTGGTAGACCAGGCAGGAAGAGAGAAAATAATTGGTGATGCTTACCTGAAACAAGTGTTGCTCTTTAACAACTCACACCTCACCTATGTTTCATTTGATTTCCATGAGCACTGGTAAGACGGCTTCCTGAAAAATTGCATAAATCTTAATTATATTGAATTGGTTCATAGTGCTTTTCAGGTCAACTATATTCATTCTATTAATTTTTGAGAGTTTGATATTGAAACTCCAAATAAAAATCTTAATTTTTCTACTTAAAAGAATTGTAATGTATAGTAGACTGTATGTAACTTTGTTCTGTATTTTCCAAGTCTCCTGTAAATGTGTTATCATACTTTCATAATTTAAAAAAAAGAAAGAGAAAAAAAAGATGGCTTCCTGAGATGAGTTTTGATCAGGTCCAGTTTGTGTAGTAGTTGCTGCCACAGAGACCTTAGGTTTTCTTCTCTTTTTTATTGGGAAGAAAATCATGTTCTCATTGTTAGAAAGGAGAGGACGATCATTTCTTAGTTCCATTTTCATATTGGTTTTATTTTACCTAAAAATTAATAAAAGTTAATTCTTCCTGAAATATTCAGTCTTTTTGTTCCAAAATGACTTCAAGACTCAGAGTTCCTTTTTTCCTTCACTTAATTAATGGAGCTTTTTCTTTCTGCTTGAGTTTGAGCCTGGCAGAAGCAATAGCGTTCCCTTAGTTAAAACATCCTGCTGGCCTGTCTTCATACTCCGTTAGTAATAATGCTCTCCCTTGGGATAAGTTCACTAGTTATCTGGAAAGCAACGATCATTTTGATGGTAATTTTAACTCGTGTGTATTCTGAAAGTACATTTCTTTTGTCTTAAGCCTGGCTCTAGTTTTGGTTCATTTACCTAGGTATTGAAAACTTTGGTGGGGAAAGAAGCTTCCGGTGGCTGTGATGTGTTTCAGTGTATTCTTAAGCATATTTTCTGTCATAATGCAGATTACTTGTAAATATTTATATAATTTCCCATATAATTTAAAGTAGTATTAATCTCATATTTACAGTAATAATTTTAATTTTTCCAAGCAATCTTAGATATCATATCTTAAGCTTAAAAAATATTCTTAAAGATGTTTTTATTTCTTTTGGCATGTATTTTAGCAGAGGAATGAAGTTTGAGAATGTCCAAACACTAACAGATGCCATTCATGACATTATACTTGACATGAAGTGGTGTTGGTAGGTATTTCATAAGAAATCAGTTTGATAAGCTCTAGGTCTGTCAAAGCATATGTTTTTGTCTAGTACTATAAGTGTTAAAATAATAGCAGGCTGGGAAAGAATTTTTGTTTTTCTTGTTTCACTTCCAGATTCCTATTCTCCTTTTCAAAAGTATTAGTTGTTAGGTATTGTTAGCTTTGAACAGGAAGAAGGTGTCAGATGATTGGCAAAATGGAGCAAAGTGCTCTATGCCTGTTATTTAATTCCTTCTAATGCTCTGTCCTCTACATTTCTTCTTGGTCCCTAACATGGGAAGGAAAGCTTAGAGGTATTTGGTCTCAGTTTTGAGACATTTAAAAACTGCTGGAGAAGAAAGAGGAGGAGGAGGGAGGAGTAGGAAGGAGAAATTGGCTCAAAGGACAGAAGAGAACATTTGATTAGATTTTAAGGCCACAGGTGGCCAGAGGAATTAGATGAGTGAGGCAAGTTTCATGATTCCACCCTGGGTGGTAGAGTGAATTAGTCTGTACAAGCTCATTTAGATGCATTTCTGCTTTAAGGGAAAAACCAGGGAACAGGATGTTGTTTTAAAGTGCCTTCTGGTTTTAAATGTGTAGAAAAGCATAGCTGGGGTTTGTGTCAGCTCTGCCTAGTACTTGCATGACTCAGGAAAATCACTCTGCATCTCAGTTTTTTGTTTTTTTTTCAAAATGAGGGTAATATCTTCCTTGTCAGGTTATTGTATAAATTACCAATAAAGTCTGCAAAGGTCTCAGTAATGCCTGCCACATGATATTCCAAGCAAATAGATAACCAGTGTTGCTGTTACCGTTATACTGTAAAGAATTGTTGGTTTTGAAAACTTTTTAAGTATTTCCTATTGTAAAATAATTGCATACTGTTTTTGAAAAGGGTTGATCAAGCTGGAGTAATATGTAAGCAAGAAGGGATTTTTCGTGTTAATTGCATGGACTGCCTGGATCGCACCAATGTGGTCCAAGCTGCCATTGCACGAGTGGTCATGGAACAACAGGTAATCTGGAGCCCACTGGGTTGTGAAATTCATCTCTGAAACCTTCCTGCCATAGCACATTTACAGCATGCAACCATTCTTGTTGCTTTAAAACCTGGAAAGTACAACCTTTGCTAGGAATCAGTTGAATCAGGTGGTGTTTTCTTAAGTACTCATTTAAAAAACATGAGGCTCAAAATTTAATAATGTAGTGGGTGGCACTGTGTAGTCATTTACTTTTTTCTCTCAGCTACACACCCTCTCGCCTGTTCTTGGGGCATGGGGTCTGCACGCCACCTTTCTGCTCGACCACCTGCTTCCATATCAGGCTCTGCCAGTAGGGGCTTTCCAGGAAGACTATGAGGCTGAAGGAAGGAAAAGGGACAAGTTTGTTCACCTGTTATATTCCCATCCCACCCTCTCTGGGGCTGTGAGTCCTTTGGCATCACAGAACCAGCCTCTTCCCTTTGTGCCCCAACCCTCCTGGTGGCAACTGTTTCCTGTAGTTATTATATCTCTTACCTCTGTGTCTCCTTTTAGATCTTTCATCCTTCCAACACCTGGGTAATGAATTCCCAAGGTTGAATTCCTAGCATGGTGTATTGTTTTGTTTTCCTGATAGAGCCTTGTGACTATCCTTAGAGGAAGTCGTCTTCTGTTGCATTGAAGCAGCTAGGCTTTGGTGATCAAGCTCTGGCCCTACCACATACTAGATGTTGACCCCATGCAAAGGGCTCAACCTTTCCAGACTTCTTTCCTTTCATCCATAAAATGAGGGTACTAAGAGTATTGATTGCATAGACTTGTTATGAGGAATAAATGAGATCATTTATTTTAGAAAGCTGTTGGCATATGGCACCAGACTTAACCTTTACTGAGCACTTACTGCTCTGCTACTATTAATATTGTTGTTGTTTCTATATGATTTTTTGATAGTTAGCTTCACTTCATAGCCAAATTTAAAAGAAAGGTACAGTAATATGAGTCTACACATTAAAAATAACACCAGAACAGTATGAATTTTTTATTCTATTTATTCAGATGTAGCAGTTCATAAAGCTGTCTTTCAAGTGGTACTTTACTTTGAAAAAGTCTGAAAACATTTCCTGAAGGGTTCTAAATTGTATATGCATATGCTTCCTTTCTCTGCAGTATATGTTTTATGCTATGGTTTCCTGGCTTATCTGCAGTTAATCTACCAATGTATTCATTTTAGCTGAAAAAATTAGGTGTGATGCCCCCAGAGCAGCCATTACCGGTGAAATGCAATCGGATTTATCAGATAATGTGGGCCAACAATGGTGACTCCATTAGCAGACAGTATGCTGGGACAGCTGCTCTGAAGGTAAGTATCTGTGGGTCATTCTGTGGGACACAGGGTGTGGTTTAAAACCAATTTGGTTTTTGAGGGAAAAGCATGTGGGTTTCAGGTGGTAGGTCTACGTAGTTGACTCTGGAATGTTTGGGTAAGGCAGGGGTCACACTTCCAAATTCCTGCAGGTGCCAAGTCATGTGACATGAACTGGCCACTCATTAGCTTCAAGGGAGAGATGGGCGGTGTGTGCCTGAGAAAGAGCGTATGATGACTCGGGAAGGTGCTCTTCTGCTACTTCCTAATGGGGCAGAGGTCCAGTGTTGCCAGAGCGCCCAGTTTTCAAGGGAGTTTGGAAATCTGGACTTTTGTATGTAATAGTTGGTTTCTAAAACTTTATACAGACAAAACAAAACATGTCTGTTGGTGGGATTTGGGTCCCTAGTATAATTTGCCTCCTCTAAATTTGAATCCCAACCCAGCCTCTTACTAGCTCTATGACTGTGGGCAAGTCACTTAAATTCTCTGTGTCTCTCTCTTCATTTATAAAATAGGAATAATTCTAGGCCTACTTCAAAAAAAGTGTTGTGGGATTATATGAGCTAATACATTAGAGCTTAGATCATTCCCTGACACACAGTAAAGGGTGAAGAAATGTTTTATTATCTTTTTGTGATTGTTTTACATAGTCTTTTGAGGATCCTACCAAGCTGATCTTCACAGAATTTAATGTAAATGTAAATACAATCACTGGTCACTAAATACTCCCTCTGTTGGCAATAGGAAGTGGTTGAATTAGTTTAAATTAGGTTTATGGTTATTTTCCCTCAAGGTAAATAGTTTACCTCAAAACATTTGTTTAAAAAATTCCTGGATAAAATCTTAAAGATTCCACCGGAAAACTGTTAGAACTAATAATTAATTCAGTGAAGTTGCAGGATACAGAATCAACCTATGAAAATCAGTTGTTTCTATACACGAATAGAGATTATCTAAAAAAGAAATAAAACAATCCCATTTATAATAGCATCAAAAACAATAAAATACTAAGGAATAAATTTAAACAAGAAGGTAAAGGATCTGTACACTAAAAACTAAGACATTGATAAAAGAAATTGAAAGCACAGATAAGTGGAAGATAGCCCAGGTTGATGGCTTAGAAAAATTAGTGTTAAAATATTACCCAAAGCCATCTTCAGATTCAGTGTAATCTCTATCAAAATTCCATTGGCATTTTCTACTAGAATAGAAAAAACAGTCCTAAAATTGATTTGGAAACACATGAGACCCCTAACAGCCAAAGCAATCTTGAGAAAGAACAAAACTGGATGCATCCTACTTTTGATTTCAAACTATATTGCAAAGTTGTAGTAATCAACACAGTATGGTACTGGCATAAAAACAGGCACAAAGACCAATGGAATAGAACTGAGAGCCCAGAAATAAACCCACATGTGTACAGTCAACTAATAATTTGACAAGGGAGCCAAGAATAGTCAATAGGGAAATGATAGTCTCTTCACTAAGTGCTGTTGGGAAACTGAGATATTCACATGCAAAATAATTAAACTGGACACCATTCACAAAAATTGAATTGAAATAGGTTAAAGACTTAAAT